ATATATTATAATATCCACAGCCAGCTCGCCGGCAAGCTCAAGTCTCGTATAACAATGTTCTAGCTCCCAGGGCCCACTCTATCATCACCTCCTTTTTCCACCTAATTTCTTGTGGCTAAAAAAGACAAAAACTAGCCGAAATTGAGTAAACCTTGGGACCCCATCCCAATCCACCAAGGTTCACTCAGATCTCGCGACTCCTTTCTCGCTCCTCACCAGGGGAAAGCAGAGAGGCAGGGGCGACCATTCTCATTTCTGGCACAATCCAGCGGCAGCCGACAAGGGGGGCAGAGAGGCAGAAATAAAACGAGAGAAGTAAAGTAAAAGACGAAGAGAGAAATCGATGAGAGCGACCCGCCTGGTTGCAAGGGGAAAAAGCTGGCGGTGAGTGTCGGAAGGCCCATGCTGCTGAGCTGGGGATGCACCCATTTCCAAATTTACCGGATTTCCAAGCCTGCCTAGACTGAGCCGCAATCAAGTTCAGGGAATGGTTTTAGAAGAAAAACGGGCAAAACAACGATCGGATAGAACACCATCGAATTGTAATCCCACATTAGCTACATTAAGAATGTAACACTAATCCACTAGGCCAGGGGTCACAGAACTTTTTTCAAAGTGGTTCAGATTACTGACAGAATGCCGAGCACGGACCTGATAACTACGTTGTTCAATGCAATACAATACTTTTAAAAGAAAGACAAACAACCTGTTGATTTATTAACCCATAAAATATAAAATACAGACAAAAAGAATGAAGACAACAAACGTGTATATGTATGTATTTGTGGAATCACCAAGTGCGGGCGACGGCGGACGCACGGGGTTAAACGAGAGATGTGTCACATTGAAGCCAAGTGTCACATTGAAGCCAAGCAAGAGTATGTTACATTAGCTAGAAGTTACGAGGTTTTTTAATACATGTTTGCTTAGCATTGCACAATTCAATTAAAAGGTTGTAATTATCTTGGTGACTAAACATCTTTCAAGTTTTTCCTTACATAATGGCACGGCTGCGCAGGCAATTACATAGTGATATCTGCACTGAACAAAAAAAGCACGATTTCTAATTAAATTGATAAGCAAAACAGGTACAAATATTTGAGTTGCATCACTCTAACTCTAACACCTACAACTCCCTAAACGTATCAATCAATTAACACACATCCAGTAGGGTGCACTGTATTCTCATCCAGAGAAAACATAGTCTGACTACACTGACCTTCTCTTGATTTCAATGATCAAACGCACTAAAACAGTAACTGGTAGGATACAATATGGCAAACCAAAAGAGAAATTAATTCTATGAAACGAACATTCAAAATTATGAGGCATTTTAAAGGCTCTCGGAGAATGATTTTGTTAAACAGGTTTGTCACAAACCTATGAAACAAGATACCGCTTTGAGCAGTTAAACCGGCTAACCGAATTTTTCGCTCGGATATTGCCCAGTTCTACAGAGCTTCGAGCCGCGTGGGGAGTACGCGCGGATATCATAGAGTGAGTTTAAGTAACAGCAGAGACAATTTCGGACCTTGTTTTCAAGGCAGCAGTAATTCTCGCATTGTTTTTATCACAGCCCACGTCTCGAGTTCTAAACAAAGACTACGAGGATTACACAAGTCGTGTGGTGTGACAAGGGGATGAGTAAGCATAACTAGCGACACCAGCGGTCTGCCGCTGTCACCACGAATCGCCATAGCGACCACGGGACAGCGTAACGAATAACGAGGAAGGGAGGGAGGGGAGGGGGAGGAGGAGGGTAGAACTTGTGGTGTCCAAGGCGGCATTTAGACCCTGTGTTAGAACGCGGTATTGTGTGTGTCTGAGTGCGTGTACGCGTGCGTGAGTGCAGTAGAACTCGCATTTGTGTTTGACGCGATTCGTGGTGGAGCTCTGTGGAAACCTGTGCCCCCCGTGAAGCACTAACGCCAGCTCCCGGTGACTCGGGGTGGACTGTGAACTCCTGATTGATGCGTTTACTCACGCCAAATGCAGAGAGCGCACTCTCCTACTCCGGAATGAACACTCTACGACTCCGGAACAACCGGTGGTGGAATCCTCGCGCGGCACAAGATTCTCGGAATGTTTAGGGAGAGCTTCTGTGTGTATTGATCGTGAGTGGCCGATAGGGCACATAAATAAAATACTCTGCATCTGAACTAATTGAGAAGATGGAATAGCGGCTTTGACAGTGTGTTCGCGCTATAAGAAATCGATTCGAAAAGTAATAATCTCGTACAAGATTGGAATTCATTTGAGAACCTCGTTAAACACACAGCATCTTTCTACTGGCAGTGTAAACGACAACGACCATTTGTGGCAATTCATTGTAGATAACAGGGTTTCAATTCTGACATTTCGTTGGAAACAGCACCAATCAATGTTTTTTTAAAATCCATTAAATGTCCAGGTCATATACATTCCTTTAATGGCGCACATTGGAATGGCATGTTCTGGGATTAAACTACAGTGCTTGGGAATCTGAACTGTTATTTTCTTTGACACTTCCTGACTTACCGGAGACTGAACTATGTGAGGAGGGTTGTGTCTGAAAAGGTTCTGTGGTGTTCAAAGGTGCTTCTCACTCTGGAGCAGAGGAACAAGTAAACATGATTTGTAAAACGAACGACATTCGAAAATTATGCGGCATTCGTATCGTCAATAATGAAGTCTAGATTCTAGTGATTTCAAACGTTAGACTAAAAGGTCGATTTCTTCAATTCACGGCGTCTCCAGACGAATACAATTGCGCCCCAACACCTCCCCCAACTTCAAGGCAGCAGCTGTAACGTAAGCACCATGAAGGCGATCCTAGACCTACACCCCAGCAGCCAGTTCCCCTTCCTCGTTCCGCCCCTCCGGGACTGCCTCACGGCCACGCCCCCCTGCACCATGGGCCTTGGTCCCAAGAACGAAACAGCATACTGGAATGAGATCTCCGACTACTTTTGCTTCCTCGCTCTGCCCGTCATCGTCAGTTTCGCCTTCCTCACCGAGGTGATGAGCGTGCTGGTTTTAGCGAGGCAGGTCCGTCAGTCTCTGGACACGTACCTCCTCGGCCTCAGCCTAGCCACACTGCTGCTTCTGACATGCTCGGCGCTGCTGGCAGCTCAACACTACGCGGGTCCACACTGGATCCTGGTCCACGCTCAGCCTTACGCTGCCTCGTGTCGGGACTGGTTCTGGTACAGCGGCATTTGGCTTCTGGTCATGATGAGCTTCGAGCGGGTGCTCACTGTCTCGGCGTCTCGCGCCTCCACGCTCTGCTCCTCCGCTCAGGCTGCCGTGGTGGTGGTCATGGTCTTTGCAGTGGGCCTTGTGAGCTCCCTTCCCCGCTTCTGGGAGTACCAGGCCGTTACGGCCGTAGACCCTGCCACAAATCTGACCAAACTCGTGGCAGAGAAGACCGTCTCCACAGCCACAGAGGAGTACAACATAATGTACTTCTGGTACGTTAAGGCCGTGACTCTCTTCGTCCCCTTCCTCATGATGCTGCTGATGAGCGTGGCTCTGGCCTGCCGCACGCGCCGCAGCGTCCTCACCAAGCGCTACATGTGCATCAAACACACGTCCGGACTCACGCTCAACAGGAAGATCAAGGAAGAGGCGTCGCTCTCCCATCTGCTCATCCTGCTCATGTCCCTCTACATGTTCTGTTCGGTTCCCGGGGGCACCATAGAGCTTGTGGCGCATCTGGCCCCAGCCTGGGTCGACCCTTCCTCCCGGTTCTACGTCAGTTTCTACAATCTCTTCACGGTCGTCTTCTTCTTTCAGTTCGCGCTTCATCTCATTATCTACTTCTGTTTCAATAAACAGTTCCGGATAACACTACTAGCTCTGTTTTGTTGCTGTTGCTAACGAACATGAACCCATTTCATACAGTTGCTAAAAATAAACACATAATTTTACTGTTCAAATCTTTAACGAACTTCGAACAGCTTACATAGACCTTGCAGACGACGATGGATAATTAGTCAAAGACGTGACCACGAACCACCTGGATCAAGAATTGTAAGTAGACAATTAAAACACAACAAAATGAAGCCCATCGTGAAACATCAATCACGACAACACAGATCGACGGACAAAGACGACGGAGGAGGAGACGGAGGGAAAAAGGGGAGGAGAATTGGAACAGTAAAAAAACAGAGGGGGGGGGGAGACCAGCAATAGCAGCGCAGTAGCCAGGGGTTTTTTTCTTGAGGGAGAAGGGGGAGGAGAGAAACAGCAAAAATAGACATAAACAAAATGAAAGATAAAACCCCCGAAGACGAGCGCAATGAAGGTTCAGAACCCTATATGAGAAGCGTGAGGGTGAAAACCAGAGCGCAGCACGGCTGCATGCTGAAATTTTTCCTCTGAAAATAACCCCCCCCCCCCCCCTTCCCTTTTGTCATCTCCCCCCTCTCCACCCCTTTTGTACTGCATCTGCACTGCCCTTTCAGTGAACCCCAATGAAAGGAAGACGAAAAATTGGCCGGATACTAATCAATCAGCACAGAATTCATAATCAACTCTGAGCTCCGCCTGGAAATCACAGATATTTGCCAATGCACACTTCCTATTATATCCACTGGAGAACTCTGCCAATCAACGAAAGACCCTCTCCCCTAAACATTATTACAACAGTGCTTGGCGGTACCGTCATGATGAATCAGACGCAGAGTGAGAATCCCGATGGTTCTGGAAAGCCGTCCGATCAACGGAAAACGAAACCGTCACAATATTGACTGGGAGACGGGCAATCTACATAAATTGGATAATGTATTGTAGGTGTGAAAAGAACAAACAATAGGCGGCAGCTCCAGTCTGTGTCTACTACTGATGATATTACCACTGTATTACATGTATTTTATTATATAATTTAAGTATTTCTAATACTTGTGCAGGATCTACTTTGGACATGTATGATGACTGCTGGTAATACTGGTATGAAACATTATTCCTCAACGACCTCTTAACTTCCTAATAACATTCCATCTGTGTGATAATATTTGATCCACGGTGAACATCAAACATCCACATTTCCACCATAGCGTTTATAAACTGTAATAATGTCAGTCAATCCATGTGTTCACCACGACTCTTTATTAATCATCTACGATAAATTCTTATGTTTTTGGTGAGCTCCATATCTAGTCTCATTTTTTTTTTTAAACAATAGTGTTTTTTGTGTCTCCAATGGGCAAGCCAATGGTGGTTTTAGGAAACTTTTTTCTACCACATCCTCGCTCTAACAAATGAAAGGCTGAAGGAAAAAGACGTCCATATTACCTTAACTGTTTTGACCTACAGTAAAAGTGACAGCTGTTCGACAACATAATTCCTTTTCCCTGAGAAAAATCACTCAATATTATTTTCGTCTCTTATTCTGATTCCATGCAGTCTCTTTCAACACGGGCTGGGTAGAAACGTGGAAAAAGTTGTAACGTTACGTGACTGTAGTGCCACGAACCTGAATAAGTCGGCCCCAAAAAGGTGAATTCAACTTTCTAGAAACAAGAAGTTAGTTTGAGCCGGAGCGAAAAGGCAAGTCTGTGAGATAGTTTTGAGTTTCAATCCGACAACATTGTCAGTCATCAGACTTGTCAACAAACAGTTACCATGGGGGACACGATCTATACTCGCCTTGGTAAATGACTACCAGAATATGTCGGCTCATTTCAGAGACCGAACAAAAGACTTTGTTCAATATTATAGCACCGCAGTCAGCAAAGCGTACACGGAAACACGTTGTTTTGAGAAAAAAAAAGTAGAGACAACACAATCTTGAACCTTAGTTAATCAATACTGTGCTTCTTTAATGCTTTCAACGGTACTTCTCTCTCTCTCTCTCTCTCTCTCTCTCTCTCTCTCTCTCT